AGCAGCGAGGAGAGCCTGTGCGTGAGGTCGCGCACGGTGGGCAGGCCCGGCGCCGCCGCGCCGCGCGGCAGGCCCTCGCCCACCTCCAGCCAGCGCTGGAGGTGGGCCAGCAGGCGCAGGGACTCTCGCTGGCCCAGCGCGCGCAGCGCGGCGGCCAGCGTCGCGCCGTCCACGCGCGCGGCCAGCAGCGCGTGCAGCGCCAGCTCGCGCGCCGGGAAGGCCTCCGTGGCGACCACGCGCAGCGCGGCGGCCGCCAGCGCCGCCGCGCCGGGGCCCTCCGCGCCGCCAGATCGCACCTCACGCTCCGCGGCGGCCAGGGACGCCTCGGCGGCCGCCGCCAGCGCGCCGCGTAGGGCATCGAGGCCCGCCGGGTCGGGGCGCAGCGCGGCGCGCAGCACCGCGCCCAGCTCGGCGGCGGGCAGGTCAGCGCCCTGCGCCAGGCACCGCGCCAGCGCCGGATACTGCCCCGCTGTGGCCAGGCCGGCGGCCAGGCCGGGAAAGGCCGCCAGCGAGTGGATCTGCTGCTTGGCCAGCAGGGTGGACACCACCTTCCACTGGCCCAGGCCTGCGTATGAGGGGGTGGCGTGTGGGTGAATGGCCGGCGGGGGACGATGGGATGGAGGGAGACTTGGTGATGGGGCGAGTCGAGACCCAGCTCCAGGCAGTGGTACAGGCAGACGGCGGTTCCCTCATCGTCGAGCTCTGGAGCACTGGGTCCCCAGTTCCCATTCCCTGGTGCATCCCCCCCATCCCCTCCTCCTCAGTCCACCAGCCTTTGACAGGGCACGATCCGGAGCAACCCCTCTTCCACCGACCTCCATCCCCACACACAATTCACCCGCGCACCCATGGCTCGACGGAGGAGGGCCGCCAGCAGGGCGCTGGGCACGGGCAGCGCACGCAGCAGGGGCTGCAGCGTCTCCAGCGCGTCGGCCTCGCTCCCGGCGGGCCCGCGCGCCAGCGCCCAGGCGGCGCGCTCGGCCTCGCCGCGAGTGCGCGAGCCCTCGACCTCCTCCCACCTTGATATGGTGCAGGGGCGGGCCGGGTCGTCGCCCGGCGCGCTCTCCTCTCCGCGCCCCTCGGCGGGCTGCAGGTCGAAGGCGACCGTGCGGAGGATGTCGCATGGGCCAGGGCCTGTGCCCTCGCCCGTCGGGCCCGGGGCCTTGCTGCCTGCTGAGGGGTCCTCGAGACGCAGGGCGCGCCGGGCCGCGGCCGCAAAGGCCGACTCGCCTGGCTCCGGCGCGGCTGACGCGCCGGGAGCAGCGGCGGCGGGGGCCACGGCGCCGACCAGGTCTGCCAGGGTGAGCCCTGCGCCCGGGTCCAGGCTCACCGCGATGCAGGCGTCGCTGGTGCAGAGCGCGAGGCTGTCGGGGGAGAGCGCAGACACCTGAGGGGGGGGACGAAGAGGGGGAGGGGGGCAAGGTTGGAATGGGGCCTTTGTGCAGGAAGAGGGCCTGACCGACACAGCATGCTGGACCAGTCATGCGTCACAGCGCTGGCATGCCTGGACCCTCACTGAGTTGCCTCAACACGCCATGATAGAGAGTGAAAGTGCACCGAAACACTGCCGGTCTCACCGAGATGGGGGACCCGGGGACAGGGTTCCCAGCCCCCTCCTCCTCCCCCAGGTCGGTGCAGGACAGGACGCAGCCGTACTGCTCCTGGACGAGGACCAAGCGCAGGGCTGTCGTCCCGCCTGCAGAGTGCGGGGCGGAGCGGCCGGGTGAGCGATGTGTGGCACTGCGCGGTGGAGTCTTAGGCAATGGTATGGGGCTCGTGGCTGGGCGAGCATCGAGCGTGCGCAGCAGACCAAGGGAGGAAAAGACTGGAGGCTCAGAGAGATTCCCACGCGAACAACATCATCAGCACGCCGGTTCAGGGGCGCTCTGCTGTCTCTATCTACAAAGTTATCGCTGACATCATCGCCTCCACCCCTGGTCTCCCTCGGTTCCATGCGGGCACACCGCCGTGCAGTGCCAATGTCCACCCACTCTCCACATCGGAGGGAGGGACATGGGGCAACCCCTCTCGCACCCAGCTCACCATCCTCTGCCCAGAAGAGCGCCGCGAGGAGGCCCTCGCGCGGCGAGCACAGCGCCGCCTGCCGCGCGCCGCCGGCCTCAGCCAGGGCAGCCGCAGCCCCCGCCTTCAGGGACGCCCTGCGCTTTCGAGTCTGCGGCGTCGCAGCGGGGGCCGCCGCCTGCTGTGCGGACACGCCGCGCAGCAGCAGGCTGAGGCGGGGCGAAAGACCGTCGACCCCGGCCTGGCCCCTCTCGGGCCAGTGGTATGCGGAGAGCGCGCCGTCCGACCAGAGCACGGCCGCGCCGCCGGGTGTGCAGGAGGCCGCCAGCGCGTGGGAGTGCGGGGCGCCGGGCGGGGGGAGCAGGGTCCAGTCGGAGGACTCCTCCACGCCACCCTCGACGAAGTGGTACTCGCTGGAGCGCACGGCGCCGGGGTGGGAGGCCGGGGACATCAGCACGTGCAGGGAGGAGCCGCCCTGCAGCGAGCGGCAGGCCAGCGGGCGGCCGGCGCCGGCGGCGGCGGCGGCCACCCTGTCGGCGGTGCAGAGCCTGACGCCGCCGCCGTGGGGCAGGGTCCAGACCGAGGGTGCGCCGCCCACGGCGGGGCCGGGCGCCTGGAAGGACACCCTGGAGTCAAGGCGGAGGCCACTGGTGCTGGGGATGGGGCCGGCCTGCGAGGTGCTGGGCCAGGCGGCGAGGCTGGTCTGGCCTGCTCGGTCCAGCACGGCCCACAGGGTGTGCGACCGCGTGTCCAGCACTGCCGGGCAGGCGAGCTCGCGATCGCCCGGCCCCAGGCTCCATGTGATGGATGATTCCTGGGAGGAGCGATTGGGGTATAGATGAGATGAGAGGGAGGTTCGAACGAGATGGTCCATGTGCCTGCGCAGCGGGTGGAGACGAGGCTGCAGGCACAGCACACGGCGTGCATGCATGCATGCATGTATCGCACGCCGCCGTACCGGTAATTCTGGGGAACACAGGCTTATTCCCTCCTTCACTGAGCTGATGAGCACTTTGCCGTCGCCCGCGGTGGTGGCGCCCACCGGGGTGCCTCCACTCAGACGGCGTGCACCCAACATGTTCAGCCACGGCGCATCGAGGAGCCGTCGAGCACGGCAAGAGGCCTTCAGGCGGTCCTGAACAAGTTTAGGAAGACACAGGGTGGATGGGATGTCAATGGTGTGCTACTCCTAGTTTCTCTTGCTGGACCTCGCCGCTCGCATCAGGACAAAGCGCGCGCGCACGAATTGGACCGTGTGAGACCAGATACAACATGGGAGCCAAGGGAGACTGGAGAGGCATGCATCTTCTCAAAAACCTTGATTCCTAGGTCTTAAAATGCTGCGCATGCTAATTGCCCGACAGTGGGCTCAGACTCCATTGCACGCAACCTGTCCCCGCACCCGGGCGTCAGCCTGAGCTCCCCAGGCCGGAGACCTTCGCGAGTTCCCCCTACAGCCTGTCAGACATTAGACTGACAAGCCCTGCCTCTCATCAAAGATGAATTCTGACCTGGGTCTCGTCAGTCACCTGCAGCATCAGACCGTGCGCTGTGCCTTGGCCTGGGAGGGTGCCCAGCAAGCATACTCTGGGTGGGGAGGGGGGCCAGGAGGTCCAGGTCGGGACCTCCAACCTCCCGTGACGAGTCAAAGTCAATGCACCCCCGCGCAGGATCGCATCAGGAACGTGTGCGTGCTGGCTCATGTGGACCACGGCAAGACCACGCTGTCGGACCACCTGATCGCCTCCAATGGCCTCATCCACCCGAGGCTGGCCGGGGAGCTTCGCTTCCTGGACTCTGGGGAGGAGGAGCAGATTCGGGGCATCACCATGAAGAGTAGCTCCATCACCCTCATGCACCTGGCTGGGGAGAGGGGCGGCCCACGCAGGCAGAGGACGCCCGCAAACATGCGGGAATCAGGTCCTTGTGAGGTTTGCGTTCTGGGGGAGGGTTATGGCAGGATTGGTGGTCGCAAGGCTGCCTCCTGAGCTCGGTGTTGATGAGGGGTTGCATGAGGTGCTGCACCATTCAAGGCCCGTGCGGCGCTGCAGCGACTGGCACCGCTACAACCCCGCCGCCACGGGCCAGCCATGCGCAGCATGGCCGCCCACCCAACCCCCTCCTGATGACCCCTCTCCCACCCGCAGGGCACCTCATCAACCTCATCGACTCCCCCGGCCACATCGACTTCTGCAGCGAGGTCTCCACGGCCGTCCGCCTGTCAGACGGCGCGCTGGTGGTCGTGGATGCCGTCGAGGGGGTCTGCATCCAAACGCACGCCGTGCTTCGACAGGCCTGGGAGGAGCGGGTGAGGCTTTGTCGTGCGTGTTGGCCTCGGTGGGGCCGGGTTCCCTTCCCTTGCAGCTCCAGGGATGCACATCAACTCGCGAGATGGTCGACTGAAGTGGCTGCCATGGAGCTCACACCTCCTGAAGATGGAGCAGCTATCATGGGACGTGCAGTGCCGATTCCCAGACATGCACCGTGCAGCCCTGCCAGGGGCCAGTCTGAGTCACAAGAGGCCGTACCCTGCACAGATCCTCCAACACACTCCCTCTGCTTTCCCCTGCTGCAGCTGGACATGGTGCTGGTGATCAACAAGATCGACCGCCTGGCCCTGGAGCTGCGATTGGGTCCCGAGGAAGCATACGCACGGCTGCGGGCGGTGGTGGACCACGTCAACCTGGTGGTCTCCTCCTTCCACTCCGAGCAGTTCATCAGCGAGGCCGATGCGGTGCTGGCGCACGAAAACACGCGCAGCCAGGCGCTGCAGGCGCGCGCCGGCGGCGGCGCGGGGGAGGGTGCGGAGGACGATGCCGGGGCGGAGGACGTGTTCTCGCCCTCCAAGGGCAACGTCGTCTTCGGCAGCGCGGGCGACGGCTGGGCCTTTGGCCTGGCCGACTTTGCCGGCCTGTATGCTGGTGAGCGGGGAGGGTGAGGTGGAGGGGGGTGTCCCTCAGGACGATAGGTGCTTTAGAGACGCACAGGAGAGGTAATCTGCCATGGCAGCAGAAGTCTCGGGCTCCCAACAGGCTGGGGAAGGTCAATTCAGTGCTTGCTGTCCCATCACAACACTCACCACCCAGGCCTCGCCTCCTCGAATCGCCCCCCCCCCCACCCCCCCGCCCCAACACCTCCCCCTTCCCCGTGGCGCAGCCAAGCTGGGGTGCAAGGCCTCGGCGTTGGAGCGGGCGCTGTGGGGCGACTACGCCTTCCAGCCCAAGACAAAGCGCATCCTGCCCATCCGCCCCGGCTCCGGCGGCAAGCCCCTCTTCGTCCAGTTTGCGCTGGAGCCGGTGTGGCGGGTGTACGCCTGCTGCGAGGCGGCCGACCCCGCGCAGAGCTCTCGCGCCTGGCCGCCGGCCTGGGGCTGGGCGAGCGCCTGC